CATAGAGAAGAGAGGCTGATAAGGAAAAGGCCCTGCCTTCAGCAGCTCCCAGGTCTTGGGAGGGGGAGTTGGAGTGGGGAGCAGAGGAAAGGGCCTTGCCCTCAGTGGTGTCACTGCCATCTCTGTGCACGATGGTTCCTTCATGCAGCAGCAGGGAACAGTGAGGGGCAGGTGAAAGATTAGGTGGTGGGCAGTCTAGGGAATGGCCACATGGTGGCTCCCTATTTCTAAAAGGAGGAGAAGGTGCTTTCAGTGAGGAAGTGGAGGATGGGAAGCACACCCAGTGGAGGTTAGAAATGGCCACTGGAGATGGAAAGCAAGCTAGCTAGGGGTCCTGGGCCCTTACAGATCTGGTTGAGGCTGGCAACCATGAATCCATGGAAAATAGACTTGCCCAGCATGTGACTCTCTAGCAATGACCAGTGGTGGGGGGTGCAGAGAAAGAGCAGGCAAATAATTGAGCTCATATGCTGCTGTGGTTTTGCTAGTGGGACACAGGGTAAAAGAATTAAAGTGTAGGGCCAGAGATGAAAATGCTCTCTATCTTGATAGAAATTAAAAGGTTGGCTCCATTCTCTCATCTGAGTAGAGAGGACAGAGAGAGGTAGGGAGAAAGCAAAGGGTCAGTAGACCAGAGGGCCCCAATGAAACCAAAAACAGTGTTATAGGAAGAATGCTTGTATCTTCCCCTGCTTCCAAATTCACATATCAAAGCCCTAACCCCCAGTGTTCTGGTATTTGGAGATGGAACCATGGGGAGTTAATTAAGGTTAGATAAGGTCATAGATAAGAGTGGGACCCTCCAGATGAAATTAGTGGCCTCATAAAAAAAGAGAGAAAAATTTCTTTCCTTGCACATGCACCCAGGAAAGTCTGTGTGAGGGCATAGAGAGAAGGTGGTCATGTGCAAGCCAGGAAGAGGGCCCCCACCAGAACCTAATCATGCTGCACCCTGATTTTAGACTTCTAGCATCTAGAACTTTGAGAAAATAAATTTCCGGTTTTAAGGAAATGTCTATGATATTTTGCTGTGGCAACCCTCGATGGCTAGGTCAGTTGGGAATAATGAGACAAAGAGACCAAGATGGAATGCAGTGGTCAGAAGGCAAGAAGTCTGAGTTAGAGGGCCCTTCATCTATTCATTTTTATGCCAGAAATGTCTTTAAGAATTGGAGGTGGAGAGGGGTTTTCCTACGAGGATGGCAGCGCTGGAGGAGAAGGGGTGACTGAACCGGGCAGGAGAGTTTTAGATGAATCAGACTGTGTGATCTGGAGGTCGAGAGGTGGGAGCAAGGGAGAGAAAGAGGCCACCACCACAGGGGATTTACAAGAAGGCGGGGACATAATGATGGAGAAGCAGTGGAGAGTAAAGAGCCCTTTCCCACAGCTCCCCAGCTGTGAGCAAGCTCAGAGTCAGAGGAAGAGGCTGAGGATGCAAAACCTTCCAGGAAGGGCTGAAGATGTGGGGACATGTGCTGGCTTTTGAGTGGCAGTTCCAGAGACACTGTGTCACGGTCTGAATATGAAGACTTTTGTGAAAGACTTATGTCAAAGTCCTGGTCCCCAGTGCAGCAATGTTCAGAGGTGGGAATTGGGGGAAGTGATTGGGCTTTAACCTCATCAACGTGTCTATCCATTGTTGGATTTGTGACTTGATGGCATTATCGGGAGATGAAGGAATTATCGGTGGTGTGATCTAGTTGAAGAGAGCCAGTGCTTTGGGATGTGCCTTTGGGGACGATAGCTTGTCCCCAGCTGTTTCTTCTCTCTCTGCTTCCTGGCTGCTGTCAGGTAAGTCTCTTTATTCTGCCACATGCTTCCTCTGCCTTACCACACGCCCACAATTAAGAACTAAAACCTCTAAAACCATGAACCAAAATAAATTTTGCCTCCTGTAGTTTTTTTTCCCTCAAGTATTTTGTCACACAAAGCTGACTAACATACACAAGTTGTACCTGTGGATAGAACTGGGTGAGGTGGAAGATAGTTTATAGGGGACAGTGTCAAGGCAGAGGTGCAGTTTGGCTGGGGAAGTATGGGGACAGCTTAGACTTTGAAAATGGAAGCAGAGAACACAAGATGAGAAGAATGGTGGTTTTAATTTCAGAGGTCCCCCTGACAAGGGCAGATTGCTAGACTCCTTTGCTCTCCATGCCCAGTCAGGGCTCCCAATATTATAATCTTGGAGGATTAGTGCAAAGGGACCTATGAAATTGTCCATTCTTTTTCTTTTTTGTGGGGTGGTGGGGTGCTAGGGATTGAACCCAGGGCCTCATACATGCTAGCATTCTAAAATAAGAAGGCTGAGACCCAGAACGGGAGGTACTCCTGCCAGTTAGGCTTGAGATCTGAGTCCTGTACCAACCCCTACAAAACCAACCATAATATTGGTAGGTTCATTGCTAGCATGTGCCATAAATATGGGTTATTCTGTATTCAATAACACCCTCTGGAGGACAGCCACCGTTTGGCACATGCTGGCCACTGCCTGGCACAGTGAGATCCCCTTTCTGCTGTGCTCCTCAGGGCTAAGACGAGATCAGGCGTCCGACAGGTACCAGCTAGTGACCTCCCATCAGCAACTGCAAAAAGACAAACATTTACCCACTAACCAGAATAAGCCTGGGGATACTTATAAATACATAGAGAAAGATCTTTTGTCTCCAAGCACCCATAATCCCTAAAAATAAAAATCCCAAAAGACTCCCAAAAGCATTAGGTGAATCTCTGCATTTACACTGGTGTCAACAAAGGGTCCCCTTTCAGGCTCTTCCAGGAATGACAAGCACTTTGCCTCCTTTGAGGAGCATGTGTCCAGAATCTTAGGGAGGAAACTCCCTGCAACTCTGAAATGGTCCTTTCCCTAAATCTATTCAGAGTGTGTTTTGTTTTGTTTTGCCATCACATTGGAAATTTCAACCTGGGTGGCACATTATATCAAGGAAGACTGTGTGTGTCCCTACAAGGAGAGTTTAGCTTGGTATTTGATGAGTTGTATGCTGTAGGAAGTTGAATAGAACTTTTACCCATCACTTCAAAACTGTATGAAATAGGGGCTGGGGATGTGGCTCAAGCGGTAGCGCGCTCGCCTGGCATGCGTGCGTGCGGCCCGGGTTCTATCCTCAGCACCACATACAAACATACAAACAAATACGTTGTATCCGCCGAGAACTAAAAAATAAATATTAAAAATTCTCTCTCTCTCTCTCTCTCTCTCTCTCTCTCTCTCTCTCTCTCTCTCTCTCTCTCCTCTCTNATTAAAAATTCTCTCTCTCTCTCTCTCTCTCTCTCTCTCTCTCTCTCTCTCTCTCTCTCTCTCTCCTCTCTCACTCTCTCTTTAAAAAAAAAAAACTGTATGAAATATCCATGTATTTGAAAGAGAGGCTCTGGACACTTCCATGCTGGATGACAAAGAACTGGTCCATCACTGACCACCTCTGTACATTATATAAGAAAAGTTGAATGCAAGGGAAGAAGTTTCTGGAAGAACCTGCCATGGTTTGGAAATGGTTTCAGTGCCGTCCCCACCAAGGGTTCATGTTTTGGGATCTTGGGCCAAAGTGTGGCAATGTGAGAGATGACAACACCTTCCAAAGATGGGGCTTAGTGGCCCCTCTGCTCTTTCTGGCTTGTGATGTGATCTCTCACTCTCCCCCACACTCCTGCCACTGTAATGCCATCTGCCATGAGGCCCTTACCACACCCATGCCCTTGAACCTCCAGAATTGTGAGCTCAATATAGTTCTTTTCTTTATAAAATCACCCAACCTCGGGTATCTCATTATAGTAATGGAAAAGAGACTAATACAAAACCCTTCTAAGAGTTTTGTATTAGTCTCTTTAGAAAGAAAACTAGTCTCTTTAGAAAGAAAACTAAAATCTTCTGCTTGGCAGGAGGTGAGCTGGAGCAAGGATTGGGGAAAATGAATCTGCAAGCTCTTTTTCCACCACTTGGTGGAGCAATGATACATGGTGTTCTGTGGGCCAAAAAGATGCTGTGGAAGGTAACCTGGCTTGAAATAGCTTGCTGGGAGTCCACCACCCCACAAGGTGGTCTTCTAAAGTCTGGGGATGCCAGCAGTAATACTATATGGAACAATGCTATGGTGGGAACTGAAGAAGGGTCTAAAGAGGTCAGTTGTGAGGAGGTTGCTCATATTAAGGAACAACACAGTGACCGAGAGAAGATCTCTGAAAGGCTCATGAATATGGCCCCACAGAAGAGCCAGAGGTAAGAAGCCTGTCAAAATGCACTGGAAGATCAGTAGAAGCCTGGAAACAGTGACTGGTGGCCAAGTATAAAGACCTCTGCCCTTCTCCCTTCCCTGCCTGAGCCCTCAAAGAGCCAGAAGCAGCAGAGCACAGTGGGTAGGGGCAGAGCCATGTAGTCTCCCTCTGCAGAGGTCATCCCTGAGCCTCACGTAGGTTAGGCAAGAGCTAAGTGTGGGGCAGGGGATGCGGCAACTTCAAAGAGAATGTAGGACAGTCTTCTCTTAGCAGGATTGAAGGTCCTAGCACCTTAGCCAGAGGGGCCTGGTCCAGCCACTGGAAGAAACTACAACCTTCTCCTCATCGACAGCCCTTTATCTACCTGCCGCGTACAGTCCACAACTTCGAAATTTATTTCCTCTCCACTTGATCCCACTACTCAGAAAGGCCCTATCTAGTTCTCTGCTCTGGATTTGACTGAGTTTGAGGGGCAGGGGGTGCTCCAGACTGAGGGACCAGGATGCCATAGCCCCACAAACTATCAGAGAACAAATGAAGCCCATGACACACCCAAGACCCTAACTCGGGGCATTGGAGTGGGGCTCTGGGAATGAGAGAGGTGAAGGAAGGGGGGAAGTCCCGTCCCAGATGCTTCCAGGATTGGACTCAGCAGTGGCAGGGGCTGGGGCCATGTCCTATGCGCTGCCTCTATAAACAAGGCTGATCTGTGTCCTCTTGGGGACACAAAGGCAACTTCCTGCTGCTGGTGGTCTGATTCTTAGAGACCACAATCAGAAATATGTGCTGCTCACAGTGGTCACCCCTGGAGTAGAACTTCTTCCCGTAGACTCCATTTCTTTCTCTGGGGGCACGGCCGTCAGAGATCTGCAGGGAAAAGAAGGCTGTCATTGGTTGTCCAGAAATTGGTCCCATGGCATCACCCCTCACCATCTCCCTCCTGAGAATACGGGAAATCTGACCCAAGGTCGGGTTCCACAGGGATCCATATTGGCCACTAAGCAATGATGGACTAATGGTGAAGAGGAGGTCTGGGTTTCTAGTGGAGGGGCCACTGATGTGGGGCCCAGGTCCTGGGCTTCAGAGCTAGCAAGCTGCTCACCGTGTGCTGGGCCCCTGATCCAGGTCCTGGACGGTGTCCTTCAGGGCCTGGCCACGTGTCTCTGGCAGTAGAAAACAGAGCAGACCTGCCCCGATGGGGAAGCTGCCGTAGATGAGCATAGGGAGCTCCTTGCGGTACTCGCCCAGCAGGAGCACAAGTGGCGTGAGGATGCCGCCTATTCTTGAAAAGATGCTCACCAGCCCCATGCCTGTTTGCCTGCAGGAAGGCCAGTAAAATTTGAGCAGAATTGGCCTCAACCTGAGGCCACAGCTCTACCCCCAGACCCCTAATTGTGACACACAACCCCACCCCCAGCCAAAGGCCAGCACGGTCTCCAGTCTCCTCTGGCTTATTTAGTGCTCCTGCCCCTGCATGTACCTCCCACCTCCAGGCCTCCCTGTCTGCCTGTCCCATCTAAGGTCAAAGGCTATGGCTCCCAACCACCCCTTCCCTCATCTGACTGTTTCTTCTCCTGGGTCATTCGTTCTGAAACTTCTCCCACATTCCTGTCCTGACAAGGCCAGGCCATGGCCTACATCCCTATCTGTCCTCTGCCAGCCTGGAGATACTTGGGGACTTGCACTACAGCCCTGGTGGTCAGGGCCCCAGAACCAGCCTCATTAACTATTTGTGGGCTGGTGGTGAGGGTAGCAGAGGACGGGCCAAAATCAGGGCCCTAGAAGCAGAAAAGCAAGAGTCATATCAGCAGCTCTTACCGGACGACGGTGGGAAAGAGCTCAATAGTGTACAAGTAGGAGATGGTAAAGCCAGCAGAAGTAGCGAACTTCCCCACCACGGCCAGCACGGTGACCACCAAGGGCATATCTGCTGGAAGATGCTGGTCAACCACACGGAAAGTAGGCCGCCCACCACTTGGGCCCTGCCCGCCACCTTGTCCGCCCAAACCCCTCACCTCTTCTGTACCCAAACCCTGGGGAAACCTTTACTCCCGACAGGAGAGTGATGGCCATTGGTCCAGCCCCTGCAGCAGGGTTCAGGGAGGGAGGGAGACATCCAGTCATACCTTCTGGGATAAAGATGATGATAATACACATGAGGCCACCCAGAATCAGAGTCCCCATCTGGCTCCACTTGCGGCCCAACTTCTCCATCATGAAGATGCTGAGAAGGCGGGCAGGCACCTCAGAGGCTCCAAATATTAGCTGCGTCAGGTAGATGTCCAGGCCAAAGTCTCCCACTTGGAGGCTGACGCCATAGTACCCGAGACTGTCCACAAACCTGTAAGGCACCCAAGGGTTCCTGTCATTGCTGAGTGTGCAACGCCATCACACCCAGAGGGACAGTCTGCCTTGGTCAGTGTCACAAAAGGAGACACTGGCACAGCTAGGGAGAGAGCGCACAGCCTGAGAGCTACCATCCCACCGCTTGGTGGACACACGGGAAAAGTGGCCACGGAAGGGGCAGCGTATTGGCACTGTCCTCAGGAAGGGGCATGAGCCCTGGGCAACTCACCAGACACAGATGAGAATCAGGGTCACCTTCCGGAGGTGGGGGTGTCTGAAAAGATCCAAGGCATTCCCTGAGGAGGCTGAGTTCTCTGGGGCCAACTGAAAGAAGATGCAGGGTGAGGGGTCATGCAGAGGCTCTGGGGGGGTCAGTGTCAGGGGCAGGGACAAGCCCTGGCCTGCTGCAAGTACCTGGTTCAGGAGCTCTGGGGAGATTTTCCGCTTGTTGACTGAGGCTGCCTTCTGAACTAGTTGTTTGGCTTCCTCTATCCTCCCCTGGGTGAGGAGCCACCGAGCAGATTCTGGCAGAATCCTGTTGGCCAGGAGCGGCTGTGACCTTGGGGTCTGAAGTCCCGTGGAGCCTTCCTAGCCTTTCCGCACCTCCCTACTTGGAGACTTCCTCTCCCAGGCCAGCCTCCGACCGCCCCAGGAGGTGAGTGTGACCACTGCATTCCACCCCACAAAGCTGGCCTAGGGGTGGTTTGCTCCTGGCAAGTGGCTCCTCACCAGATGTACGAGAAGAACAGCAAAAAAGGAACAGCGCCAGCAATCTGAAGGAGCCTCCAGTTGCGGATACCATAAGCAAGTCCCGCCAGCACCATCTGTCCCAAGGCGAAGGTGAACTGGGCCAGGATCACGGCCCGAGTCCTCCACGAGGGGCTCACCCACTCTGAAACTGTGGGGACAGAAAAGCTGAGACTGGGCCTACACCCTGCCCCTTCACTCCCCGCCGCTCTCCAGATGCTGTCAGGTCAGCATGGGGGTCTCAGTCCCTGCACGAGAAGCTCCCCTGGGACTGCCTCAGGTATGGGGTGCCTGACAAGTCTCCCACGGGCGTGGGCCAGATACTCACTCAGGGTGACAGTGCTTATCATAAATCCAGAGACAGCGGTAGCCACAGCAAAGCGCAGGACCATGTAGAACTCAAAGCTGGGCACAAAGGCCGTGGCCAGGCCCACGAAGGCAGTCAGGAGGAGCTGCACCAGGAGAGAGGCTTTGCGGCCAATCCTGAGGTAAAGAAGCAGAGCTGTGGGTGGTAAGGGGAGGGACCCTGCTGCGGAGGAAGCAGGGAAAACCCCCACAGGCCTCACCTGGGCTGTCTGAGGGAGGAGACGTGGCCCTTCTCTGGGAGCCCCATGGAGGGTGGTGGGAACCAGGCCTCTTCCTGGAGGCCGGCATGAGGGGCACTTGGGGAAGCTTGGGCCCTAAGGAGCCTAAACACATGCTAGGTCAGGGGAGAGCGGGTCAAGGTTCATACCAGTCACAGAGGGGCCCAAAGATGAGGGCCCCAGCAAGGAGTCCCGACATGAACACCGACTGCGAGGTCTCCTTCAGGTGCTTCCGATGGCACACCAGGTTGAACTGAGGCAAACACGGGCAGATGTGAGTCTAGGGGAAGTGCTGAGGGCAAGTTCTTCACCACCTAGCCCTTGACAGCTCTCTTAGGGATCATGCCTATAGTTTCCAAACTGTGTTCCCACACACCCCAGGGTACCACAGTGAACTCACTGGGCACAGCAGAGTATATTCAAAGGGAAATAAACAGAGTGATATTTGACATCTGTCTGACATCACACAAAACTACCAGCCCAGGATAAGTTTGTACTTCAACATGAGATCACCCTTCTTTTCTGTCAATGACATCGTATGTCTGTGAAGTCCTGTTTTGGGTAACAGCTGTAGGAAAAAAAAAAAAAAAAAAGTAAACCATGTACAAATCAGCAGGGAACCAAAAATGGACCTGGCAGTATCCAAGGGCTGGGAAGCTATGTGTGCTCAGGAGCCACATACATCCCATTAATAAGTTGTTGCCTTTCTTTAAGAATGAAATAAAATGTTTTTTCTTTGAATTCAGGTGTACTATTCTTTCAAACCACTCGTAAATTGTTAGGACATAAACACGTGTTATTCTTTGGACTTAACAATACATAGAACCATATTTCTTTTAGCCTAAAGGTACCATGTATAATCCCTGACACATTAAGGATATAAAATTTGAGAGCCTATGACCTACCACTGATGGTTGCATCCTGAGAAGTAGGGTCTCTTCCCCTCAGCTCAGGCAACCCTGTGACCCACTTGGGCCTCTCCAAATTTTCTCATCTGGCTGCAAAATCCCCTGAAACACTCACCAAACACAGGCAATCAGGCAATAAGGAGCGTTCACACATACCTGATTGGGACAGAGGAACATACACACATAGTGGGAGGGCCGGGTGGGAGATACATCTGGGCAAAAGCTGCCTACCCACCTGGAGATTTAGAGACAGCCTAATCCACAGTCTAGGAAATGAAGTGGAGAAAATATGTGGATCCACACAGCTCTGCACACATGTCCGCTACATGTGCACGTACAGTACACATGACCCCCTCACGGGCGTTCTGCACCCTTTGCACACAACTCAGCTTTCACATGAATGTTTTTAGGGGAACGTGCCATGTGAACCCTCCTCCAGCTTCCCTCCTGTGAGGATGCCTTGGAGTGCCTGTTTTGTGCCATGCACAGGGTGCTAAGCGCTTTACACGTATTACTTCAGATCATTGCCACAACAGCCACTGACTTATTGTTATTTTCCTCCGAGGGACGTTAGCAGCTAATCCTGCATCCCACAGCTGAATGGCAGCTGGTGGAACTGACACATTTCTATTGCTCTAGGCAGGGAATGAAACTGAGTGGAGTCTAAGGGAATGTTTGCTGAAAACGAGCAAAGGAACCAAGGCCAGCACATGGATGACCAGTCAATCACCATCAGTTAAATAACCTTTAGCAAGAAATTAACCAATCCAGGAGTTACCACTGTGCTCCCACTTCCGTTCTCAAGGACAACTGTTAATTTTTAAGGACTTTCGGTAGATGTCAAATGATTAACTGATTACCCCTGAGAATGACGTGGGACACGGAAGGGCTCTTAACTGTTGGTCCATCCTGTTTGTTTTTTCCTAGTAACTATGGATTGCCTTTGTAGCAACATACCATTTAAAATAAATAAAGGCTTGCAACTGCCAAGCTCTAGGGTCAGAACTGAGTGACTTTGTGTAACCTTGAGCCTGTTAGTCTATCCATCTGTGTCTTGGTTTTCAACGCGTACAAAGTTGGTGATAAAACCTGCTATATGGTATGTATCATCTGATAGGATTAAAGGAACTAATACATGTGACATACTTGGCTTGGTGGCTGTTACACAGGCGGTGCTCAGTAAAGCTCTGTAGGATGGCTGCACTAGCCCTGTGCTTACCAGGCTCTCAGGGCTATAGTGTTCTGCAGGCATGAATGCCAAGCTATGGGGGTCTTCCAAGTCTGGCACCTCTAGTCACTAGTCACAATTCTACTACCTCCCTTTAGTTTATAGCCCTTATATCATTAAATTCTCACGCTTAGTCCATTGTTCAGCAGCAGCAGAGACTGTGTCTTGGAGAGGTGCCAAAGTACACCCAAACTCACATAGTGTCATCATGTTGCAAATGGCACAGAGATGAAGAGGACTGCACTTGGGATGCCATTTATCCACCTCCCCAGCCCTAACACCAATAGTATTTGGTTCTGTTCAGGGACAGCCAGTAGCTTGCAGAATTCCACCCTCATTTCTAGAGCATGTCTTCCTTATTCTAAAACCTTCAAGGCCCTCTTGGATCTCTAGCAGAAATCCCATATTCTTCAGCACTGTACCTGTAACCCTACAAGAATTTCCAAACTTCATTTTTTGAGTATTCCTCAAAGATACCAGACATTTTTATACCTCCAGACCCTAAAAATGACTGTTTTTTTCTGATTCTCATTCTTTGCCATTCCAACGTTGCCCACAATCCCAGGAAAAGTGCTACTGTTTCTGCTATTGGTTGACAGTCTGTTTCCCTCCCCTTCAGAGTTCTATATGGACAGAGCCAGGAAATATTACACTGATAAGGTAAGAAATAGACAGGTACTATGACCTTCAAGGGCATGTGGCCTTAAGGAAACATGTTCTTTCTTTTCAGATTAGTGTGGTTTTTATTTTGGTTTGAATATGAAGCCCAGGTTATACTAAGGACACTGGGGTGTCCACTTAGAGAGGACCTTCTGCCTCAGTGTGCAGAGCTCTTTTTCATAGATTAAAAAAAAAAAAGCAGAAGCATAAGATCTCATTCCAAAGGAGCTCTGCTCTAGAACCAAGCTTAGATTGTCCTGTGGCACAGGTCACAAAGTCCCAATGTTGTACATTCCTTTGAGAGTCACAGTTCTTGGAAGGGTTGGAAGTGGAAGGGTAAGAGGTCCAAGGCCCAACCCAGCCAGCATGGACTAGGCTGCTGACTGAGGCTGAATTGAGGCCTCAGAGTGCTGCCCACAGGTTGTTGAAGAAGCTGAAGTCAGTTTCAGGTCTGTGCATGTCGGATCAAGTGGATACAAAACAATTTCAGTGAGGCAGACCACTGAGTGTGTTGCTGGGAGCCGTGGTGCCATTGGGAACACTTGACTCCAACACAACAAACAAATCTCCACCTGAGTATGTGCTGTTTTTGAAAAGTATGCAGTTACAGGATTGGTGGAGAGCCACAGACTCTTGACCTTTTTGACACTGAAGGACAAGCCAATTATGAGAGATTATGGCAGTTGAACATCCACAAATGAATGTGTTTCTTTTCTGTTTTTCAGGGGTCTCTGACCTCACTAGAAGTAAAAGAAAATGGGGTGCCTGAGATAATGCATCTACCATCTTGCTTGTTGAGACACAGATTGATCTCAGAGATGACCCCTCTCCTATTGAGAAATTTGCCAAGAGCAAATAGAAGACTTCAGAAAAGCTGTCCTTGACCAAAGGGCTGTCAAATGGGGTATTCTCACTCACATGGAAAGGCCTAATCAATGTGTTAGACACAGTAATATTAGTTGCCCTGGAGCCTCTTATAGCTAAAGAAGGGCTTCAGGTGTGTGCTGTCATTTATTAATATATTCCCCATGTTAGTCAATTTTCCATCTGCTATGACAAAATACCTGAGGAAATCAACTTGAAGGAGGAAAGATTTATTGTGGCTCATGGTTTCAATCATTTGGACTCAAGGCTATGGGCTTGTAGTGAGGCAGAATGTTCTGAGAAGGGTCATGTGGTGGAGCAAACTCATTTATTTCATGATCCCTAAGGCATGCCCCCAAGAACCCACTCCCTTCTACTAGGTCCCACTTCCTACAGTTTGTACCATTCCATAGGAGTCCATTTAGCTAGGAATCCATCAATGGACATTGATGAGTTTAGAACATTAATGAGTTTAGAATCCTCATGACTCAATCACTTCCCCAAAGTTATACCTCTGAACTGCATTGGGGGCCAGGTCTTCAAAGCATGAGCTTTGGGGGACATTCGAGATCCAAACTATAACATTCCTTGACAGGTGCCTTTTCTTTTCCCCTTTGAGTAGATCCAGTGCTTGATGAAACTCAGGTAGCAATCAAGAAAATTTGTTTGTCATTTGCTGGTTTTTTAAAGGGGAAGTTACTTTTTAACAAACAGCAACAGCAAAACATGTGCCAGATCCTTGAAAATACCCCCTACAAATCCTAGTTTACATTTGCCACCCCTATTCCAGGCACACCAAGTTACCTACTCCTTGAAAACCACCTGTTTCTGGCTTCCAGGCCTTTCTTTCGATACTCTTTCTGCAAAAAAAAAAAAAAACCTCTTCTCTGTCAACATTTTTGAGCATCTTGTTACCCAGCTCACATTACTACTTCATTTAGAAAGTTGTCTTCAGGAGAAAGCAAATTCTGGGCCTCAGAGGTCACCTAGCCCTTTTACTCCAGTACAAGGGATCCAGATCTTCCCTGACCACCAGGGGTCCTTGGAGAGGGACTCTGTGTCTAAACCTTAACAACCGGGAAGCCACAATAGCAAGGAGCTAGATGTTTCTGAGGGCCCCTCTTACTTCAAAGTGGCTAGAGAGAGCATCTTTCTGTAAATGTACCCAAGTCTCTCCTAAGAGAATGAAGTTAGTAGGAGCAAGTGCTTAATTATCCACAGGGCGAGTCTTAAGAGTCGAGAGTGTTCTCCAGCATCCCAGAGGCAGGGACCTACAGAGAGAAGCCGGAAAGTAGGAAGCCAAGTCAAGCAAGCAGGATGGAAAACAAGTGGACAGAGAAAGCAACAACCTATGAGTTAGGAAAGCACAGGACAGGCAATCAGGCCGACGTGCAAGGGTGAGCCGAAAGACAAGGGGAAATAGACAGCTAGGAACACGGGGTAGAGAGAGGCAGCATCAGAACAGGAAAACAGGGCACAGGCATAAAGGCAGGTGACTGGGCAGACAGACAGAAGGACAAGCCTGGAGACAAAAGGACAAGCAAAACTGAACAGAGAGCTGGGCAGGCAGAGCATACAGAGAAAATAGAGACTAGATGGACCAACAGGCAGAGGACAAAGAGAAAAAAGAAGGTGACTGCAAAAGTTAAAACAGGCATACAAATGGTCAGCCACACAGGAAGAGTTACAGAGATAGCAACAGTCAGTGCAGGGTCAGGCAGAGGGACCAAGACAAGTGGACAGATAGGCACAAGGCCAGCCGTACCTCGTTCAACAGCGATTGGGGCTTGTCCTCAGGATAGTGCCAGCTGGTCTCACAAGGCTGTGTCTCATTGAAGCGGTGGCTGAGGATGTCCTCCAGGCTAGCGTTATTGGGGGGTGGCCGGAACATGAGGCAGGACTCAGGTCTGCCCTCAGCATCCAGAGGCACGCTCAGTGTCAGTTGCTCAGCTGCACTCAGGTTGAGCGTGTGGTTCTTGACCCAGGCCACTGAACAGTAGTGGGTCTCATCCAGGACCATGAAGACCTGGCTAAACATATAGAAGGGGGACAGGAAGTTGGGGATACTCATCAGGATTGTCAACTGTACCTGGAAGCGACCAAAGTCACCTATTTCAGCTAGAACCTGGGCAAATTGAGCCATGGCTGCTGTTCACCACTCCTCAGGTAACTCTGGAGATTAGCTCTGGTGCACTTGTTCCTTTGGACAGCAGTGGCAGCTGCATTAATGTTTAATCCAGCCTTGCCTAGATCCACCTGTCACACAGCTCCCTAGTTGTGATCTGAGAAAAGCAGAATATAATGAAAAAAATCATCCCGTCTAGCTTGTAGCATCTGAGGCTATTTTATTTACTGTGAGCAGGCATCACAAGGGGAATTAAGAGCAGTTTTTGGGCCCTGAGCTTTAGCCAAACATTAATACAGCTTACAGTAGCCATACCCGCCCCACCTCCAATTGCAACATCCTAAACAATTCACACCAGCTCAAACATTTCCATTTGCTAGAGAATCCAAATTCTGAGACAAGTGTCTCCGAGAAACAGGAGGCTGCTCTAGAGACCAGCCCACATTAGACAGTGTAGGGTAAGTCAGGAGGACAGCAAGAAAAACCAGCCTACAGACTCCATCTCCTGGGGATCACAGAAATAGTGGTGGTGGGTGCCATGTTATGTTGGGACAAAGAGTGACTTCTACATTAGATATCCAATGGGTTTGTAAAACCTTACTTGAATTACGCATGTCTTTTAGTAATAGAAGCAGCAATGCACTTTACCTGTAATGAGGAAGATGGAAATGGAAATGAATTTCTCCCACTCCTTGGAACCTAGGGGCACTCCTATGTGTGCTCCAAATAATGATGTTCAAGGACATTCATTGTTCTAGTAAAAGTGAAAGATTGGTGAGAACTTGATTCCAGAACCAAGACCTGAATACACAGTGAGCGTGTCTGTACAGAGAGGCATTATAGGCAGCTCAGGGAAACCAGGCACCTGTCTGCACTGATGATGAGCTCCAAATTAAGTACTGAATGTGCAAGAGAAGTACAAGCAGTGAGATAATATCCCCAACACAGAAAGACCCATGAATTCCATGACTACGTGCTCTCGGTGCACTTTGTTTCTGGTGAAGCCAGTTCCTGCATCAGAAGTGGTGCTATGCGAAACACCACAATGATGGATACAGCAGTCCATGAATCCATGGTTGGTGGTTTTGGCAGAAGCAGTGCATTCAGGGAAGACAAATCCCAACCCAAAGTATCTATTCCAGGAAGAACAATGCCGCAGTCCGGCTGCAGCAAAATAAACGGGGGGTGACGAACAACTTGATACAGCAGGAGTGGGAGCCGTTTATTGTAGGATAGGAGGGGTATATATACATTACACTCAGCTCATCTTAATTAACATAAACTAGATACAGCAGTCAACCAATAAAGAATCTCCACACTTAATGGCTCGCTGGCGTTACTTCACAAACCACTCCCTCTGGCAAAATGCCAGGCACCATCTTGACTTGTTTACAGACCCTAACAGAACAACATGCTGCCACTTCCATGAGGGAAGTGGTCCAATGTAATCCACTTGTCCCCAGGTGGCTGGCTGATCACCTGAGAAATGATGTCCCAGGGAGGCTCAGTGCCATTCTCCACTGCTGGCAGATGGGGCCCTCAGCAGCAGCTGTGGCCAGGTTGATCTCAGTGAGAGGAAATCCATGTTGCTGAGCCCATGCATAACCTCCATCCCTATCACCATGGCCACTTTGTTGATGAGCTCCTTGGGTGGTGACGCAGGTTGCTAGGGAGAGAGGCTGACTGTTAGCCACTGCAAAAGCAGGTTGTCCTGCACACTTGACTATTGAAGGCTTCCTCTGTTGAGGTCCCTCTTTGGAAAGCATTCACATGGGACATAACTATTTACTTATTTATTTCCCATTCATAACCTGGTACTCCATTGCCAAGTAAGAAGGACTTCCACTGTTCAGTTTTTCCTGCATCTCTGCCTTCATTTGGCATCTGTCTCCTTTGTTCTGAGTCATCTTGCTCTCCAGGAACAACAGTCTGGTCAATAAACATCTTGTGATTAGTCAAAACTAAGAAAAAAAAAAAACCAAACAGCCTGTATATTAACTCTGCCAAAAACCTAACCCAGCCTCTTAACCCTGATGGACTTCCTCTTCTCCTATAGATGCCTAGTGTTTGATAGTATGCAACACCAGCCAAGCCCAGGAGGCACTACTAGGTGTGTCAGGCACAGGAGCCTTTTCTTTTTTAAGCACCAAACACAATCCAAGAGTGCAAAGTATAGTTACATGCAAAAACCATGAGTTGCATTTTGAGTACTACTCTAATCAGTGAAGAAACCATTATCATCTCCAAGAAAACAAAAAATGCAGCTGCCTGAGGTTAGTGCTGAGAAAAGAGTTCTCAAACAATCTCAGTGATAACAGGAAGACAGGACAAAGTCTCTCTCTTCCACCAAAGTCTCTCTCCTCCACCACCAGGAACATGCACACATATATACCATAGCACATGAACACACAACCTGCTTGTGTATGGAAGTTCTTCCTGCTATGAATTTGAACCATCTTAAAAGATGGGCTGGGGATATAGCCCAGTTGGTAGAGTGCCCCCAGCACCACCAAAAAATAAAAAAAAAAAGATGGGCAGAGGAACACTAGTGGAGAAAACACAAGTAAGCAAGATTGCGCAGGGCAGTTCTGGATACTGTGTGCCTATACTGGTCACCTAGCTGGCCCAGCTGTTGAAGGTAGGGTAGACTGTGGGGGATAGGCTGCCAAAGGAGAGCACTTTCCTCTTGGCTCATCCCAAATTCCCTGATCAGGCTCATCACTGTCCCCAGCTCTATCTTTTTCTCTACCTAGCCTGCTTGAGTGTTCCCATTCTCTGCATCACCTCTATTGACTTGCCAAGAAAATGGTTGCTAGGAGGTAGGAATCTTGGGTTCTGCTATTGATTCATCCTGAATCTACCCCTTCCCACCTCTGAGCCTCAATTTCCCTATCTGAGTAAAGGAAAAGTTTGGACTGGATGATCTCCAAGGATTCTTCCACTTCTTGGATACAGAAAAAGAAAGATTAGAAAATCTCCAAAAGAAAAGCAAGACATGACTAAACACCTTCCTAGAACTCATCTCCAGTTGGAAATAGGATCCCCAAATCGGTACTGAGACAATGGATGTTTTAGTCAGCGTTCTCACCACCGTGACTAACAAACTGAACCAGAATAATTTTAGGGGAGGAAAAATTTATTTAGGGGCTCATGGTTTCAGAGGTCTCAATCAATAGACAGTAGACTCCATTTCTCAGGGCTCAAGGTAAGATAGGACATCATGGTGGAAGAGTGTGGCAGAAGGAAACAGCTCACATGATGATTCAGAAGGAGAGAGAGAGAGAGAGAGATCGAGATCTCCACTTGCCAAATACAAACACATCCCCCAAAGCCATGCCCCAATACACACTTCCTCCAGCCACACCCTGTCACTTCGACTCAATTAATCCCTATCAGGGGATTAATCCACTGATTGGATTAAGGCTCTTACAACCTAATCATTTCTTCTCTGAACCTTCTTGCATTGACTCACATGTGAGCTCCAAACCATAACAATGGATGTCACTGGTCTCACTTTGCCTCTAATAGTTTTCAAATTCTATTTTTGTTGTTGTTGTTGTTGTTTACTTCTTTCTCCTGTTAACCTTGCCCTCCCCAATTCCCAATCCCAGTGAGATTGCCAAAGACTCCTCATGATGCTTCAAGGTCCAGAACAGGTTTCCTCTTGAAGGAAGCCTTTCCAAGATCACACTCAACTCTCTGTCCAGGGATCTTTCTCTACTACATCAACCTGAGAGATGGAGCCCAACTCCAGTGGGCATGAAGGTCTCTGACTTCCCCATGCAATCTAGTTGTCCTTCTTGCCAGTGGGACCGGAGTGCGGTTGCCTTCCTTCAGGGAGAGCCAACAACTTGTATGGCTCCTTTTCTCACTGTGAAGCTGTCTCTGCTTTAGTGCACAACTAAAACCAAAAAAGGAAGTAACAGGAATTTTCTAACAACTAGGACACTTTTAAGTAGAATGAATAATTTTCTGTATAGGAAGAGTCAGTAAGCTCACCAGGAATCATCTTTCCATGGAATGGAGGGAGATGTTTGTGGGGGGGCGGGTAGAGGCAGAGGGAGGTTGTCAAACATCTTATTAAAAGAAAAAAAAAAACAGAAGACAAATTAAACTTAACAGTATTGGAGAAAAAAACACAATTAATGAATTGGACCATATCCTGAATCAATAAAAGTTCAGAGAGATCCACTCAATGATGTGGGTAGGGTAGACAAACAAAAGGAAGACACACACACAGAGAAATAGCCTGATTGGTTACAGCCAGGCATTTGCTTTACTTGGACATGTTTTGGCAATGTGCTTAAAGCTCAACTGCTGTGATGGGCTGAGGCTTGGTTACATATTAAATTCACTACCTATAGAGGCAACTTCAGGTCAAATTTAGCAATTTCTTGTGGCAATGGACTTAATGGCATCTCCAAACTCTTCCAAATTTGAGAATAACTTTAGCAAATAAAACTTTGGGGCAGGACTTTTGGTTTCTGATCTGGCATGGAAGGAGCTACCTACCATACAACTGTAACAGGTAAAAATATGAACAAACTGAAAACCACATTAAATCTGTCAGAGAAAGTGAGTCACATGAAGTCACTGCCTCCAACCGGAGAGAGGTAAGTGACACAGAAAATTACCATTTACCTGAGCAGAAATCCATAAGAAGAAACCTCCACAGGAAATAGGAAATGGATAAGAAAACCTGGACTATCGATGAAAAATTACTGGAGGTTCAACATGGACATCACAAAAGTCCAAGGAAGGGCCCCCATACTTCTGTAAATTTTACTCCAGAGGCTCTCCTGGGTTCACAGTAAATAACAGGGTGTTGGGGGGGGATTCCTTATGTTTCTAGCAGGGGAAGAGGAAAATAACCACTTGAAATGAGTTAGAGCATTCTATTTTTCTTAACAAGGCCTACCCTCAAGAGAAGTTACTTTAATAGAGCCGAATTTATTGAGATTTTATCAAGCCCTAACTAATCTGGGTGAAGAGAAATGTTTAACTCCTGCCTGGTCTAG